GTGGGACACCATATATAGATGAGAAGTGAGAGGCAAACAAAGAGGCAACTTGACCACATGGAGGCCTTAGACTCCCCAAGATGAACCTCATCTGGTATTGTAGAGATACCACGTTTACTACGAATGAATTCCCAAAATGATTTAGGATCTACGGTGAAAACTAAGTCAAGAAGAGACCAAGTGTTATTGAGAATTTGGTTCATTTGGAAGAAGTGAAGGACTGAACTGATCGCCGACAACACGGACCTTATCAGATATACTACCAGTATAGACAAGACCCGAATCACTGACGGACCAATATTACGGTATAGGATATTTGTTTTACATAATTAATATTAAAACTATTTCATTCAATGTTTACATTTATGTAATATTTTGCATTCTATCACAGTATTGCCAAGACTCCAAATTTTTAAAGCATTTTCTAATTTTCTGAATAATATTATTACATAAAATTTAGGGCTTAGCAGGAAATCTATAAAATTCCCTTTTCCAGGTCAACCTAAATGCTTAGATACAGCAGAGTGCCATTGTTTACAGTACATATTTTGTTTGATAAAATTAAGTTACTTCATAATAGATTAATACATTAAATTATTAACTAATGAATACCCTATACTTAAATATAGGTGTATAAAGAAAAAGTTGAAGAAATCTTTTTAAAAACAACTGTGACACATGTACTTATATAATATAATTAATTATTTTCTTACTAAAACTATAGCAAACACTAAGGTCGGTATTCATAGTTGATGCTTAAAATTAAGTATTGCTTAAGCTATACTTGTGACTCAAATGAGTTTCATAAATGAGACCTACCTTAAGCATTGCTTTTAGTTATTAACACAAATTATATGTTTTTAAATTCTCAAAATTAGTATAAGCAACAGTCGATTCCGCTTTATTGGGACGCATTGGCCACATGTTGACATCGTTACTACATGCGATAAACACGACTGATGCACTAAATAACATTTAGTATACATCACATTTGAACATACGATAAGATAAAATGTAATCTAATAATCGATAACACGAGTTGGTCTCAATTGTCAAACTATTGATCTATTAATATACTTGATAAAAATGTCCCAATTACCCGGATTCATGGTCCAGATGAGTGGTGAACGTTTACATTACAAGTATACATTTGTTTTCGTAATTGAAGAATTGACCCTATTAAGCGGTTGTCCTTATTTTTATTTTTATTTTATTTTTATTTATTTGTATAAACGCCAAACGGCTTTTTACATATTGCAATAACGATATAACATGAATTATTAACTGGTGTCTCTATTAAGCAGAATCGACTGTATCTATTTTTAAACATAGACTATGAATACGGCCCTAAATATACAACAAATTCTTAAATATTAAACATCATATTCTAGTTATTCTAATCTCAAACCATCATAATACAAATACATGCAACATGCCAGTTTCTTCATCGCTGAGTCCATTGAGTTCACTATGGTATACCGCTAAACAGTTATACCTTCATTTGAGTATATTGCCATATTCTGTTTGGAAAAACATAAAAATGATTATTGATTGTTTAATATATTATTATTTACTAATTACTAATTACAGTAAAAATATGATTGTGTCTTACATCAAAAATTTAGTTCAATCAGCATCACTATATGATTACATTGTGACAGGCGAGGCTATATCATTTCTTTTCGAATCAATATCAATAGGTTTCACTGAAATACAAAATAAACTCAATTATATTAGTGGTATACCTATGTGTAAAACATAGAATAACTGAAGTTTTAACACTTACCAAACTCACAAGTCTTAGCGAATTGAATAATGTTACTGGTAGCTTCATAAAATGGATCAACAATCAAATTCAAATTACATCGTTCAGCCTGCTGTATGAATGCTAACTAATTCAGGAGTGACAGGATACCAACTCTCTGAAACTAATTTCAATTTTAAATTAAAAAATAATATTTATTTTTACCAAGGTTTTTTGTTTCCAAGACTTATTTAAGATCATCCCTTGCTAATATACTGATGAAAATAGGAAATACTATGAAAGTTAATTTTAATATAATTTATACTAACTCTAGTTTTAATTGAAATTTTTATACACTTGACATTGTATATTATGTTAAAAGATTCTTTTGTTAATGGAGTTTTTTTTGTTTGAAAATAAATAATAACATTAATAGTTATAAGCCAATTGTAAACTGGAGGTATTTGATTAAGTATGTCTTATATATTTTAGTCAAACCCAGCTTTATCAAGCATGATATCAGATCATTACATTCTATAAGCAATTATAATATGTTTAAACAATGAAATACAGATTGCAGAAGTCAAAAAAGTAAATATAAGTTCTAGTAAAAATACTAAAAACATAATTATTGTCATCTATGTATGAAGCTTAACATTAATAATTATAAAAATTACATTACTTTGTGTGTTTATAACTTTAGTCTCTAGGGATATTGCCTTTATTTGGACGTTTTGTATTTATCAGCCAATTCAGTGGCATGTCCAGGGTGGATTGTTAAGGGTTATGCTACACCCTTCATTCTCACTGCTTAAACATAAAAATAATAATAAATATATTTTAGTTTATTATTAAAATAAAAAAAATTGTCTAAAATAAAGTATTTTATATACTCTATTCCAAATAAGTTTAGAAAAACTGCTCAGCCTTGGAACACTTTTAGCCTGCAGTAGTCCGCAGCGCACCAACAGCAGCCAACGAGCTTGAACATGAGTGAGCGCGATGCGTTTTTGTAGTGACTTTTTTCCAAACTTATTTGGAATTGAGTATAGATGTTATAAATTTTTGTTGAGCATAAACACAAACTCTGACTGATAAAAATTGCAATGATAAAGCAAATAGCAAAACAGGCAACAGATGGGACAATATTTGTTAAGAATGTTTATATTCTCATTTTTATTAGCCCAATAAGTAATTAAATCTTGATTCATTACCAAAAGATTCCAACAATGTAAACAGCAAAGTCTTAATGTATGAGGTTCTCTTTTTGTAGTTTTCTGATAATAGTTTTATTGTCGCAATTTTCTTTTTCTGCCTTCTAACTGCTTGCCTTACTGTTTTGAGCTTCAGGTCTCTAATAGCAAGCTTATCCGTTAGTGTTTGAATTCCAAGTTTTAGAAAGTGAAAACGTAGAGTATCTGAAGAATAAGTTCTGCTAGCAGCTATAAGTAATGTTTTATGTTTCATCTAAATAAAAAATAATAAATTTAACATCAAATATTTCTACATAATGAGCCAAAAAGAGTATTATAATTTTTATATTCAAATAAACTCAGTTTTTTTCTTAATAAAATCATAAAAATATATGATTAAGTTTTTTAAGTACTATTCAATTTAAATAGTCATACTAACACAAGGTTTTTTAATACTTAATGTATCAAAAGTGCTTTCTACATGAATGGATTGTGGAGTGGAAGGTGAATTAACTGATAACAATGATGCAATCTCATCTTTGTTGTTTGCACTTTTTACACGACTAGCAGAATTCTAAAATAAAACAAAAATACAAAATTATATCGAAAATTATGAATACAACTATTTAAAAATAATAATATAGTAATTAGGTACCTGAGAATATACATTTTCATTTTTCAATGAAATATCCATTTTATCTTCGGTATTTAATGTATTAAACATTGAGACCATCAATAGAAAATAACTAAAATACAAATAACTTTATTATTATTATTATTTGAAGTATTTAAATAAAAAAATTCATAAATATGGAAGTGATATAATTAAAATATGTTATATACCTTGAGTTCAGTTCTTTCAAACAAAACAGAATTGTTACGTCTTGTAGTAGGCTAATTCGCTCATTAGTACTTGAAATACTTGGCAGGAGAGGTTTTACTAGTTCTGGATTTAGGCTACAAATAAATAATATAACATAAGAACTCTAAATATTTAGTAATTTTTTGTATATAATATCATAATTCAATCTTTTTTTGATCCATAGCCGATGTAACATTATTCTGTATTATCAATGATATGGTGTAACGAATGTACCAGTTTTTTTCATATCAGTTTGAGCGAGCTAATTCTTAGTATAACTTCCATTTTTCACTCGATAGTATTGAGTCAATACATGTTGAAACAGCAGTTTTTTTTTTAGAATCTCCATGTTTTTATTTTGATTAAAAATAAAGCATGCAGAATAGAAATGAGCAAAACATACCTATTTAATTGTTTATATTTTAATTTACGAAATTCAAACATTTTGTTTTTATATTTTCTTTAGCAGGAAACCATTTAAAATAAATAATAATTAATTAAATTTGTAAGTAATTTATATACAATACATATTAATAAATTTGCTTATAGACAAATAACGATTGTTATATTTTATGAATTATGATACATAAAACTTACTTAGGAAAAGAGATATTAGCACTTTAGAATTTTCCATTTCTCGATCTGTTACAACAGTTTGGTCAGTTGGGCATTAATCTGAAGATCAAATCCAATTAAATGGAAACGACAGAAATAGCTATATAATAGGTAAATGCTAAATGTGGATATTCCAAAACAAGTTACAAGAGATGAGTCGATAATCCGATTATGTTACCTAGGGAATTATTATGATTCTGAGTGCACTATAATAGTTCTATCAGTTTACAGTTATCTTATATGAAGTGATATTATATCAAAATATGATTATGAGAAGGGTTGTCTGGTTGTCAAACCTAAGATTTTATATTTAATTTTTTTTTATGTACGGTTGTTTGGTGTCCCTGAAAAATGGAGTCCAAGCATTAGTTCATATTATATATTTATATTAATTGTTATAATTGTATTCCGTGCCGGACACTTTTAACGAATCTGTCGCGGACTCACTGTCTCGGAGTCTCAGACCGGTCAGACCTCAGCGTCTGTCGTCTGACTTGTCAGTTGTCACTACTAACTTTACTTACTTTTTTACTCACTTTTACTTCTCTACTTACTAGTAACTGTATACCTACCTACTCTCTTGGTCTTAAGCGGTTGCTTCTGATGAGGATAGCGCCCGCAGATCCAACATCCTCCGCCCTCGGTCAAGACCGCCGAGGGCACTCATACTGGACGACGCGAAGATACGTGAAAGAGCACTTTCGGTGTTTGCCGTTCGGCCGCGGGTTCGTCGCTCGCGGCCCACGCACGTTCCCGGGCCACCACCAGCGGAACGGGTTCGAGAACATGCGGCTGCTTCAGTTAGAATGCTTGAAATATGGAAGATATTGAATACACGCCGCCTCGACGGTACCACCAACGACGTTGTACATGAATACGCCATGATGACTTTGCATAACGGAGGCCGCACTACTGCAGAACTGTAGAACATCGACGGGTGAGTGTTAGATGAACAAGGAACACGCCGGTCTTCACATTCACGCATCCGAGGGACCAGCCGCGAGAACGTTGTAGGGGTGACCAGTCACCAGTGTCCTACAATAATACTTACCTACCAGTTACCAATTTACCAATTACCACATTATACAAATGTGCACCTACTTCGCCATCTTGTATCCCTTACCCTCCCCTTCGTTATTTTGTCCAGTCCTGCCCTATATATTTTTCCCGAAGGCCCCTGAACTACTTTTTTTATTAATTCTTATGTTTTGTTTTTTTATCTTATTGTTTTGTCACATTGTTTATTTCATTTGTTAAATTAATAAAATCACTGTTTTTTTTTTCATATTGTCTAGTATATAATCAATTGTTACGAATTAACTACTAATAAAATAGTTTAAATATATATTATTGTACCGAAGACTTGTTTAAGTGGAATATTGAGCAGCTACCTGTAGTAGTATAAACTCTAACCGAGTGTTATATTTTATTTAGTTATAACTATTATAATAGGTTCCAAAGATATTATACTATATACTGCAAATACTGTACTTGTACGGTGCCTACATCACTTGAGTACACATACAATACAAGTTGTGAAACAAATATCATAATTCATAAAATAACAGTATCATATAATTACCAGCCAACAATACTAGTAGGTACCTATATACTGTGTAAGCTACAATAATTGTAAATATTATTCGTTGGGTGGAACATGAAAGTCGATAGTTGAATAGTCTACAGAGTATAGACTATACTCTACACAATATACCTACTATAGGTATAATAAAACAATTGTATTTTATTTATCCACATGTCGAAAAAAAATATTTTTTTTGAAAAATTTATCTGGAAAATTGTTATAACATGTATTGTATTCGGGAATCATTTTTCGTCAGAATGCGAGCTTCGACCAGAGCAATAATAAAAGATAAGTACCTATATACAGAGTGGAAAATGTAATCAATTTGTGAGTAAGAACTATTATAACGGCATGCGAATAGTCTACGTCAGTTGTAGGTACTTTACTGGATTATTCGAAAAATAAAGCCCCGAAATAAAATTATTATTAATTAGATAAATTTGATAAGAATTTTTATTTACATAGTATTATAAACCATGCCTAAATAGTATGCCCCAAAACTCGTATCACCCTCGTTATATCTTTATATCCATAGCAAATCATGTGATTATTTTTATTTTATGAGCATTAATACTTATTTATTTAAATCATACTTGAACTAATTAGTAATTTTATTCCTATATTATTTTGTAAGAATTAGGTAATAGGTACTTAGGTATATTCTACTTTAAGGGACACCTTTTTTTTTTGAAACTTATGTAGTTTAGCACGGTAAAAACGTTGGGGGAATCAGAATTTGGCGCACGGACTTAGTTTTGAAGTTATGGCCTAATGAAGTTCACTATTTCGCGATTTTTACGCATTCGCGCATCACACTAGTTTAACCTATATACGACTATTTCGAATATTGATATTTTTTTTTTTCGATGAGTGACGCAAAACGTACCCTGTAACCTACTTGGTGATGTTGCATAGCAAGTCGGAGGATATTTTCGATTTGCGAAATGGAGCCGAGGAGCGCAGCGACGAGTGCCGATACACGAGTAACCACTGCAACTTTGAACTTCCATAACTTTTGAACGGTAAGTTTCCGGGAATTTTTTCAAACAGTTTTGAATTCAGCATAAAAACCACGTATTTTGAAGAAAAAAAAATTGCAAAAAAAAGAGTGTCCCGTAGAGTAGAAAAGTTCCAATACTTATTAGTTATTACTTATTTATTTAAATATTAGTACTTATTATTTTTCTATTTCATATGCTTTTTAAAAGTTTTGACAATATTATATACAGTAAGATAAATATATTATATTATGATTACCTAATGATAAACAATGTTAAGTATACTTATTACTTACCTATTGTTATTAAATAATATTAAAATTTTACAAAATTAATCTAGACTTAAAAATGAAATTAAAAAAAAGTTTTTAAGTGGGAGACACTCAGCTGTACAGTAGGTTACAAATTAGTGAACTTAACAAGTATAGGTCATTGTAATAGATTTTTTGGTTACAAAAATATAACTACCTACTTATGTGGAACGTTGCTTAAAATTTTGTTAAATGTTAAAATATAAAAAAAAAATAACAATACCTAGGTAGTTAGAGCATAACCATTAAATATTTAGAGTTTATTGGTAAGGGGCTCTTTTGCACATGATAGGCCAGGTTTTTCAGGGGATTTTATTTCAGAGCAATTTTTTCCAAATTTCCAACCTTTGTGTCGCTTATTAGTTATTACCGTAATGTGTGTCGCCAAAAAATTGTTCATTTATATTATACATGTTCAAACTTATATCTATAAATATATGACATTATTCTGGCTTTATGAAGTGATGGTAAAAAATAAAAAATAGATAAAAAACAATTTATTGTGAAGAGTCGTTCTCAATTTACATAGGTATAGGTTTATCATTGTTAATTTTTAAAATTACATTAATTGTTTTAAGTGTGTCACCATTTTTTATGAATCAAAATTAGCTGGTGTTGTAAAAAAAAGGTCGAGAAGCTCTGGTTTACCTTATCTATGAGTTATGAGTTATGATAATCAAGAATATGATTGTGTATTATTATATTATTAGGATATATTAGGCGAATTTCAATATCATAGTAACATCATTATTTTGTATCGATAATATTATAATCTTTGATAGAATCGCATAAAATCCATATAATGTTTTAAAATATATTTTGTTTACTAACTACACTGCATTTTAAAACAGATGGGTTTTTATGAGAATTTCGTAAAAATTACAACTAGTGTTTATTTTTGTATTTAAGACAGTGTTCTAAAAATAATTTGAATAAACCCAGATTTTGAATACAGAAAAATAATTTCAAATTAATCTTCATTGGGCCATCACAGTGAGTACCTACGCATATACTAGTGACCTCATCCATATCAGAAACACTCTGTATATATGTACTCCAAATGAAATTAAAGTGTTTTTGTGAAAACTTCAAATTTTTCTTACTGATATCAGGAAAGATTAGAGTGTAGTTTGAACCATTTTCGATTTATACCAAGTGTTATAATTTATAATATATTTACATCCCGTCACAGGTCCATTATCCACCTCTGTCGAATTAGTTTGCAAAGCAACCTAAGCCCGGATTAAGACATTTTGAGGCCCAAGGGCCAAAGTTTTAAAAGAGGCCCGTACGAAAAAAAATATTGTTTATTATATTATTTTAGGTACCTGTTAATAAATATTTATATGTAGGTCTAGGTACATATCAATAAATACCTAATGAATAATATATGTATTTATAAATTTTAATTTATAAGCTTTTTTCCTAGTTAAATAATCATCGAATTTTTTAGGTGATTTATGCAGTGTTATAATAATAATAATAATATAATATTTCTTTATTACGGAAATAATTTCCAATTACAGTTTTTTTTTTTATATAATAATATGTATATAATATTATATTATATACATACATTATCAGTAATTCATATATAACAATAATAATAATATAAATAATAAGAATAATAACAATAATAATAAAAGAAGAAATAGGTATAAATATCATACATTATAATATTTAAATTTATAAAATAAAAAACAAAATTAAATAATAATGAGATATTTATTAATATGCTTCTATTGAACTATTATAGTAGGTATCTAATTTTTTATGTATTTCTTAAAACATTTGCCATGAACATATTTAAAGAATTACAAAAAAAAATTAATATTTTTTATTGAGTTACCTGTGGACATTAAAATATTGGATGGATAATTTTGCATATAATTTTTAGTTGAATGTTTTGCGTAGAATAAATTTAAGGATCGGTAACTTATTGGATTTATTTCAAAATTTATATTTTACAGTAATTCTGGACAATCAATCATATTATTTAATAATTTTAATAAAAACTTTAATTTAATTTGCGCTAATCGTTGTTTTAGCGGATGGCCTCGCGGATATCTGCACATCGTAGGAATAGGCTACGAGCTATGCAGAAATTAGAAATTGAGGTGATCTATACTCTTATATCGATTCGGTTGTCATTAGATTTCGTCGTCGGTCGTCGGTCGTCGGGCCGTTGCACCACTGCAACCATCGTATCATCGAAATCAAATCGTGCATGTCATCTCTTTGGGCTATTTCTTCATTGATGGGGCCGATCCCGGTTACTGCAGTCGTCATCTTCGGACGTTGGTAAACGGTCGTCAAAGTCGGATGGTTTTTCCGCGGCCATTCACAGTTTGAGTAAATCATCCGTGCTCGCGTGATACTTTCCTGGTTGGCCCGACGGATAACCACTTTGGAAGTCGTCGTTGTGGCGGTAACTTCGGTGGTGACGGTTGAATAGTTTGACCCGACCACTTCGGTGACTGTTGAATAGTTTGGCCGGACCACTTCGTAGCGTCTCCCCATGGACGTGGTCAGGGTTCTCTGCAGGAGCTGGTCAGACTGAGCATAATGAATAGCGTCGTACATGGGAGGTGGCTGATATGAAAATAAAAGTACCAATATTAATAGTTAGCAAATAAATTTTACGTAAAGAAACAATTTTTTAGACGAGGTAGGGCTTGATCAGGGTGAAAAATACGCAGTGACTCACTACAATTGTTTACCAATATTATAGCAAATCTGGGAAAGTTTATGTTTTTGTTTACTAGGAGGTTAAGTCTATTTAATATGAATTTATTAGAACTTAGTTATTATGTATTTGAGAGCACTATATATTCTATAATGTTATATATAATGCGATAACTGATAGTACATACCTCAGCAAAGCCATGAGCGACAGGTGCCTCATCGTACCCATCAGGAATTTCAGGACTAGCAATACGGTCGTTTTCAATCTCTTCGTAAGGCGGTGGCCTGTCTTCCATTTTCCTCATGACGAACTCGTCCACCAGAGAGTTGCTTTGCATAAGCTCCAACTCGCAACTGTAAAAATGTCCTTAGGTCAAACAGGGGTAAAAAAAAAACCTCTAAACAA